AAAATAAGGTCAGGGTAGTGCAAAAGGAACGGTAGCAAAACAGGTCTCAAAATGTCGTCGACGTACCGCTGCGGTGTCAGTGTGCCCTCTAATGACGACCAGAGGGGGTCCGGCTATCAAGGGAAATGGCACCATAGACCATAACTCCTGGTTGAGGGTCTGTGTGGCGTGCAATACTGAAAGCAGGGTCGACACGTTACTCTGGGCGTCTTCAGACACGTCTTCGATGATCGTCAGGACACAGCTGAAAGCTGGATTCGTCGCTAAAGGCTATATGTCCCCGGTCAGCATCATTCCAACCTGATCGAGCCAAGCACCACTATAATCTAGCTCGACAGTCTGTAGGCGTGAGTGGCAGGTGGCGTAACGGTCAGTACGAGCATAAATTTCGCTCTACCAGCTGTCTGTGAATGGTCGTAGTGAACACTCATGTGCGGGTCACAGGTCTGATGATTGATAGCGATGAATCAAGCCCTGTGACAGCTGATCTGACAATCACTCTGTACTCCCGATCTGTTGTGGCCCTAGGTCGACCACTACTACCATGACGCTGAAATCTGCCATTGTCTCCCTGAACTTGCCATGTAGTTGGCCATGAACTTGTCAGCATCTTCTAATCGCCTCATTGCTTCGACTCATATGACGAGAGATTCTTCAATTTGCTCAACCAGCCTCTTTCAATCCAATGACCCGACCTCGTTCAAACTCTGACAGTTGCTCGTAATGAGCTCGAATTCTGCGGCGAAGCATTTTTCTCAGCCGTTGAAAGGCATCTAAATCGAAATGCAACAGAAATTTTTAACAACAGTCAGACATCGGATATCGGTGATGATTGAGGCATCAACCGCAGGAGTTTTGACTTCTAGTTGGCGCTGTGCTCTGAGGCCTTTGGCTGGATATAGAAGAATAAGCGCTTTTCCGCAACTTCTAAGTTAAGCAAACATGAAAATGTTATTTGCTATAAGGCAAATGCAAAATAAAATTGGAACTTAATAAACATAGATGAAGTAGATTATACATCAAGAAACTGTATTCTTACAATAAGGAGTTGAAAATTATTTGCCAAGTATAAATGCGCTAACACTAAAATAATAAAAATGCGTTGAGAGTAATAATATCGGTTGAAGTAAGGTACCCTGCGGAAAAAAAAAGGGGGGACAGTTTATATCTCCCATTCTACTGGGCCGATTGATAAAATTCAACTTGCGTTTTTCATGTCTCGAAAGCGCAACTTATGATATGTATTGGATTTATATATAACATTGTTCAGGTATATTGACACAAAATCGGACTTTTCATGAAATAACATACTAATTTTTTTTCCGTATTTCCATTCTACGACTCAAATTACGCCAAACTAGCCAGTTTTGTTAAAATCGTACAAGTAGTTTTTAAAAAACTAGCTCTCAAAATTTTAACTCCTTAATGTTAATTGAGTTTGGTATATATTCATCAATCTCTCTCTCTCTTTTTTTTTTAATTAAACTTATATGATTCTTTCTTTCACATTTCGAAATTCAGGTTCATTTCAAATAAAATTCACCCATTTTTTATGATTCATTTTAAGTTTGTATTTTAAAATAATTTCATAAATTTTCCAAAAACAATTTTGAATTATAATCTATAAAAGTTTTACCCCTAAGTATACCTACAAAAAATTACACTTTATTATTCAAAATTTCCAAAGATACACAAGAGTTTATATTTTTTAAATATAAATATAGCGCGTTTTGAAAGATTTTAGATATTTTGTTGAACTGACAACTGGAAGTGGGGAGTTATATATTGTTACGAAATGTACAGGCACGGTAAGATGGCTTCCCCACAAAGCAGTTTTAGGGTTGCCATAAAATGGGGAGAGAAAACAGGGTTGCCACATTTGGCGATAAATCGCGAAATTGGCGATATGCCGTGGACGGATGGAGAACCTTCTGGAACGAATTCTTGCCGGTTTAGCCCAGAATGTTCTCGAACACAGCCCGAAAACTATATATACCCTGCTGATTCGCAGTCAGTCAGTGTGTGTCTCTCATCGATTGTGTGTGCCTTGTCTAGAGTGCGAGTTAGTATCGAGTTGGTGTCTCGTCTAGCGAGTCAATCCCTGCGGAGTCGATCGAGTCGACAGCCGGGCAGCGAGTGCCGAGTGGGTCGTCGAGTGCACCGAAGGAGTCTGTTAGTGTATCGCGGTTAATGCATCGTCGAAAGAGCGTGTTGAGCTCCGGAAACGACTGAATCGAAGAGTCGGGAGTTGTGCTTGTGTGTCGTCGAATGCATCGCGAGTTGTAGCGTGGAGAGTCTCGAGAGTACGTGGAGTTCCGAGAACGACTAAGTAGGGTCGGAAGCTGTACTCCGCAAAGCAGAGTCTGGTGCTTTGCAGGAATCTGTCTCGCAGTTCGTCGACGACTGTAAAACGTGTTTTGGAGCTGTCCTGACAATACTGGCAAATAAAGTTTGTTTCGATACTCCAACAAGTGTCATCGTTTTTCACTGCAAATCCACAAAAACCCCTTACGAACGTGAAGGACGAAAATAATGCAACAACTAGTGTCAGAAAAGAAAATAACGCAACAATATTGTAATATTAATATTAACTGGCTGATTTGTACCTTCTAAATAGGACGATATTGCTCTTGCTGGTGTTATTTTGAATTTCCATAATTTACACCAGAGATTTATGTAGTTAATTCTAAAATGTAAATTTTCTATGGCATGTTTCTATGGTTTGCGTGAAGGTGACATAATAATGGTATCGTCAGCATATTTGGCTGTTTTACACAAAAGTGGTTCTGGGAGATCATTTATGTACAAATTAAAAAAAGTCGGTGCAAGTACCGATCCTTGAGCTTTTAACAACAGTCACAGATCACAGATCATCCTTCGCGTAAAAGGCACGCGGCCTGTTGAGGCCTTGATCAGTCTATATTTCTTAAGTTCATAATGGCATAAATATGAGAAAAAAAATCCGAACAAGCTGAAAGTCTTAAAAGCACTGGGTTTGGTCAACACATGGCGTCGTACTTATGAGATATAAGTACGACGCCATGCGTTGACTTGCGTAAAATCTTCAGTAATGAATATCTTTGGAGTGATGTTCATGTGGCGCCATCTGATGCCTTGGGATAAAGCAATGGCATAACTTTGAAGAAGTACATTTTCCTTGAGATAGTTTCTTGAGACAAATTGTATTTGGTATAAATATAGTGAAGAGCATAAAATAAGTTGCAAAAAGAGAAACAATTTTATACAGGTATACGTGAGTAAACAATTCTATCGTGACTCGAACCGGTTATGGAAAGTTTCCAATTGTTTGTCTTATTTACTACGTCGTAGAGCTGTCGCATACAGAATATAATACACTATATACAAACACAGTCCACAAAGCCTGCTATATCAGATACAAAAATCTTCTTTGCAAGGTTTAACAACAGTTCAAGAACAGGCCCTTATATACATCTGCTGGATGCGCAGTTCCAGTGCGCTGGAAATCGCATTATTCATTCTTTGGACACCAAATTTTAATCATTTGCATATTTTGTCAAAACATTTATGCATACGAAATTTCAAAGCAATCGGAGGATTTCTTCTTTGTGCGTCGACTTTTTTTTTTTTTTTTTTTTTTTTTTTTTTTTTTTGTTATAGAATGTATCTTGTCTAACTAAATCTATCTGGAATACACTCTAATACACGAGGTTGATATCTCTCCAAAACTTTTTTCATGAAACTATACGCCATTCTTCAACATGTAACCAAACAACCACCACGACGAAATACAACCACACTCCTTACAAAAGTTTCCACGTAAAAAGGGTTGCCATACAAACAAAATCTCTCAAAAATCTCAACTAAACCACCCAAAATAAAATATCGCTACATTTGGAGACTACATGTATCACGGGCCATATATGACATCATAGCCCTAAAATAAAACTTTCCTATCACTTTGTAGAGATATTAGGTTGATTGAAAGCAAGACAGATGAAAAATGAGCAGCTCCATCGCCGGGAATCGAACCACGGACCTCGGGAATACGCGTCCAGGGTGCAGACCACTACACCATGAAGGGTCTCTAAGAAAGCGGGAGAAATACCTTACAACTTAAATAGTTGTATACGAAATGATTATTTAATAAATTGTGATAAATTGCGAGTAAGGAAAGTGCACTCAAAAGATAATGAAATCTAAAAAATCCTTGGAATAGGCAGAAATATCATTTTTGTTGTAAAACATTTTATAGCCTCGAAATTTCACAACAAATTAATAAAATAGAGAGCAAAATGATTCTTCTTACCTTGTATCCAGGGCAGCATCAAGCGAGATCATACCTAATTAACTTGTAATCCAAAAATAGGTGTAGACGGAAATTGTAAAATCACAAAACACATTCTTTATTAATACACGAAAATCGATAAAAATTCGTTAGTATTCCAAATACATATTGAAAAAGGGGTTATATTATAGAGAGTGTCATATCATTGTCCTTTCCTGAAAGAGTGAGAAAAGTAAGTGTAAAGGATAAGCGAGTTACACGGTTAATTCTTTTACAGCGTTTCCACTTCATACAGTTTATCACGCTATTGGCGACAGTCCATCACTATATGCATACCAATATTCCTACTTGATGGGCAGGATCGCCATTTGCAGCGATTCTCGAAGTTTCTCGAACACAGGCTTGCCTAGTGGTTTGTTGAGTAGATCGCAGTCATGTCGGAGCTTCTGCAGTAGTCTAGGCTCAGGATCCCGTTTTGATGAGTTCACGCAAGTAGTGGTATTTCACGTCTATACGTTTTGTACTGGAGCCATTTTTCTCCGTTTGTGATAGTTTGATGCATGACTTGTTGTCTTCATAGAGAGTATTCGGCAGATTTTGTTTTAGTCCTAGATCTTTAAGCAAATTTAACAGCCATTGTGCTTCTTGTGCTGTATTAGCTGCTGCAATATATTCTGCTTCAGTTGAAGATAGTGCAATGCATTTTCGCCTTTTGCTGCTCTATGAAATGCAGTTATTTCCTAGTTTGAATATTGTATCCGCTAATGGATTTTCTTGTTGTTCTGTCATTTGCCCAATCTGCATCCGAATATACAGTTAGTACAGGTTCTTGAATTCTGTTAAAGACCAACTTAAAGTCTTTAGTTGTATGCAAGTATCGAATGACTTTCTTGACAGCATTCCAATCTGTGTTCCGAGGTTTTTCATTTCTTCGACTCAGTAGATTGACTGCACATGCTATATCTGGTCTGCTGATGGTTGCAATATATAATAATGCCCCTACTGCTTGCCTATATTCTGTATTATCCTCTAAAAGATCATCTTCAGCTTCTAGTTTGCAGTAATTTGTTTCCATTGGCGTATATTTTGGTTTTTTGTTCTGAAGTCCAAACTTTTGAACTATTTCTTCGATTTTATTCTTTTGGTTTATGGTAAAGTTCCATCCTTAAATCTTTCAATGTTTATGCCGAGGTAGTAGGTGACTTCTCCTAGGTTTTCGATTTCGAATTTAGCGTTAAATTGTTGGATATTTTCCATTACATCTTCTTCTCTTTCACTTCCTATAAGCATATCATCTACATATAATATTATATGCGTGAATTTTCCATTGACGTTTTTGAAAACAAGCATGGGTCTGCTTTACTTTGTTTAAATGACATGTTTAGAAGTATTTTTCCAATTTTCAGATTCCAAGCTCTAGCGGCTTGTTTTAAACCATATATAGATTTCTTCAGTTTGCAAACTTTATTTTCATTTCCAGCTTTTGAGTATCCTTCGGGTTGAGTCATGTAAATTTCTTCTTCTAGTTCTCCATGAAGGAAAGCTGTTTTGACATCGATATGTCTGACAGACATTTTTATACGAAGCTGCACATAGGAAAGCTCGTAGCGTTTGTATTTACTACAGGAGCAAAGGTTTCATCATCAGTCAGATCAAACTTCGGGCTAAATCCTTTTGCGACTAATCTGGCTTTGTATCTTTCAATTTTTCCTTCTGCATTGAGCTTTGTCTTGAAAGACCATTAGCATTCTATTGGTTTTCTTCCTTTTGGTAAATCAACTAATTCCCAAGTGTTGTTTCCTTCTAGTGAATTAATTTCTTCTCTAACAGCTGTTAGCCATTTTCTTTTTTCATTTTCTTCCAAACTTTGAATTTCCTTCCAGGTTTTGGGTTCGAGGGAGATTGGATAATTGGCTTGGAATCCGTAGCGATCAGGAGGTTTACCTTTTGTGAGTCTGTTCGATCTTCTGAGTTTCAAAGGTTCTTCTTCGTGTTCTGATATTTCTTCCTCTTCGGGTCGTTCTATTTTGATTTCTTCCCGTTCTGAGCTTTCTTCCTTAGAATTTTCTTCATCCTGGTTTAAATAGATGCTTACAGGCTCGTCAGTTCCAGTGTCTTCAATAAATCGTACAGATCGACTTATTATAATTTTGTCTCCAGGAATTAAAATTCTATAGCCTTTACTTCTGCTATCGTAGCCGACGAGTATTCCTTCTATAGCAGTATCATCCAGTTTACCTCTTTTAGATTTATGGATGTAAGCAAAAGCCTTGCACCCGAAAGTCCTCAGATGAGAGAGGTTGCGTTTCTTGTTATTCCATAATTTGTATGGAGTTTTTGCATTTGGTTTTGTAGGCATACGATTCTGTAAATAATTTGCAGTCAGCACTGCTTCTGCCCAGTATCTGTGAAGTTGACCTGAGTCAGCTAAAAGACATCTTGTCATCTCCATCAAAGACATATTTTTGCGTTCACTGACCCCATTTTGTGCTGGACAATACGGTACAGTAAGCTGGTGATTTATACCATGTTTTATAAGATATTCTTCAAGTTCCATACTTGTGTACTCACCACCGTTATCACTTCTTAGCCTTTCTACCTTTCTCCCGAATTTATTGTTTGTAAGAGCAATAAATTGTTTTAGTTTAGAAATTACTTCATTTTTCTTTTTCATTAGATAAATCATTGTGAACCTGCTGTCTGTAATCATCAATAAAAGTTACGAAGTATAGGTATTCACTGACAGACGGTGTTTGTACTGGTCGTAAAATATCAGTGTGAACGAGTTCTAGCGGTTTAGATGCTTTGAATTTCGATTCTTTGGGATACGGAAAATCAGTTAAATTACATTTTATGCACTGAATGCATTTGGTATCATGTTTACAATTATCTAGTTTAATTCCTTCAGCGAGTTCTTTGTTTACAAGTTGCTTGATTGCGTCATTGTTCCTGTGACCAAGGCGTCTATGCGAAAGTTAAACACAGTTCTCATTTTTGCACTGAAATGCTACATGAGCTGATGGTTTATTATTCCTGTCTATTGGTTTAATTTGGTAAAGATTGTTAATTGCATGACATTCTAGAATAATCTGATCTCCCTTCATGATAATTCATTTATTTCCTTTCAGAACCGAAAGTCCTTTTTCCGTTATTTTCTTAACTGAGATTAAATTCGTTTCTGATTCAGGAACGTATAAAATTTCCGATAAGAGAACTTCAGTTCTTTTTTGTTTAGCATTTAATGTTTTAAAACGGACAGTTGCTATCGCCGTTGATTTAATACATTGCCCTTTCGCAGTTACAATATCTGACGGATTTATGGGTTTACATTCCGTGAAATATTTCTTATTATTTACCAGGTGATTACTTGCTCCGCTGTTGAAAATAAAACTCTCGGATGATTGATGTACGGTGTAGTTAGTAGACAGAGTGACGCTGTCACATCTGGATTCGATTTCCGGTGTTTTAATTTTTGTTTGTTGTTGATTCATCGCAAGGTTAGTCACATTATTTGCTTGGCGTGTTTTAGAATCCGCGTATGTTTTCTTTGAGTTTTGGCGCGGTTTATTTTTGTATTTCGATTTCAGATGATAACACTCTGATCTAAAGTGGTTATTGTTATGACAATATGAGAAAACTTTTCTCTCTTTGTCTTGTTTTGAAATGAGGCTTTAAATGCCTTTGAATCTGATGAATTATTTTCAATTCTCTTGTTAAATTCATCATTAATTTCCCTTTTAAGAATTCTGGATTCAGTTCCGATTCTGCTCTGGCTTCAAGAGCCGTAAGGAGCGTATCATAAAAACTAGGCATTGAACAAAGCAAAAGTGCCGAAACGTGTTCGTCTTTCATGTTCTCACCTATTGATTTGAGTTTATCGACTAACTCCAGTAATTTATTTATATGTGTTTGCATACTTCCGTCTACTTTAAGCTTCAAACTGTAAAGCTTTCGCAAAAGAAATAGTTTACTTGAAAGATTAGAGCTTTCATGTACCTGCCTGAGTTTTTCCCAGGTGGCTTTAGCAGTAGTTTCATGTTTAATGTGAATTACTTGGCTGTCTTCGATAAATAAGTTTATCATCGCGCGACATTGCCGATCCCGCTTACTCCATTGTTCTGTAATGGGGCTTTGAGGTACATCTGCGATTACATCGTAGAGATCCTCCTTTATTAGTAGCATTTGCATTTTAAATTACCATGTTGAGTAATTGCTGGAATTCAGTTTTGCAATTTGTATTTGACTTGAATTCAACATTTTTGTATAGTCGAAAAATTTAATTTTCGGTTTTCATATGAAACTACAGTTTAGCTTTTACAGTCTTTTATTATTATTATTATTATTATTTAATTAAGCTATGATCTTTTCATCAGTCTCATAATCTTTTGTTGTGAAACATTTTATAGCCTCGAAATTTCACAACAAATTAATAAAATAGAGAGCAAAATGATTCTTCTTACCTTGTATCCAGCGCAGCATCAAGCGAGATCATACCTAATTAACAAGTAATCCAAAAATAGGTGTAGAGGAAATTGTAAAATCACAAAACACATTCTTTATTAATACATGAAAATCGATAAAAATTCGTTAGTATTCCAAATACATATTGAAAAAGGGGTTATATTATAAAGAGTGTCATATCACTGTCCTTTCCTGAAAGAGTGAGGAAAGTTAAGTGTAAAGGATAAGCGAGTTACACGGTTAATTCTTTTACAGCGTTTCCACTTCATACAGTTTATCACGCTATTGGCGACAGTCCATCACTATATGCATACCAATATTCCTACTTGATGGGCAGGATCGCCATTTGCAGCGATTCTCGAAGTTTCTCGAACACAGGCTTGCCTAGTGGTTTGTTGAGTAGATCGCAGTCATGTCGGAGCTTCTGCAGTAGTCTAGGCTCAGGATCCCGTTTTGATGAAGTTCACGCAAGTAGTGGTATTCACAGTTAACTCTTTTGCAGTGTTTTCAGTTCATACAGTTTATCACGCTATTGGCGACAGTCCATCACTATATGAATACCAACAATTTTTAAAGGCCTTTAATGCTATACATATGCATTTAGATTTCGAACTATTTCTTAATAATTTTCTGTATATAGTAAATTACAGATATCATCTTTATTACTTTAAAACAAAAGTTTAAGAATGGAGAGGTATTGCATTATAAATTTAACACATTCTTGCTGGAAAAAACATGCATGGAACAGCTTAGAAACACGTACAGTCGGTCACCAAAGTATTCGAACACCGGTACCCATTCCGAAAATACATTTTTTTTCAGTTAGAAACAAAAGGGTAGCTCAAATCAATCTTGGTTAGGAAAAACAAAATGATAGCTCAAATGAATCTTGGTTAAAACTATATGTTTTGATTAAAAAAGTCTCTCTATCAGCTTAAATGCGTCTCCTTTTTCATACTTCCGTACTTGAATGCGTTACGACAAGTTTCGAAAAAATTGCTCTCGATACGTCAATAGAGTAGGAATCTGGAGTTTGAATGAGTTTGCTAGATATTGTGAATATCTTTGGCTATTAGTAGTTACAGTGTCTTCATTACAAATTCCAATGAAGTGTTTTCCGTATTGATCTTCCTCACTATTAAAAACCACTTAGAAATGGAATTCAGCACGGTTCAACTTTTCTAATAAACTCTGTCTTCAAACTTGTCATGAACAATCTATATATCATCATAACATTGGGTAAAATACAAACGTGTAAAGGAAGAAATATTTTTTTTATAGTTGGGAAAAAAAATATTTTTAGAGCTTGGGGGGAAAAAAAGTCCGGAGATCCATTATTCTTTCCCCATTATGGGGAAGCTTTTATTCAGTTTGGAGGACCATGTTGTATTGAATCTTCAACAACATTCCGTAGTGATCTGAAGTGGAACTCGAAGGGTTTACATACGTAGATAAAGATGAGTTCATTCTTTAAGAAATGGTAACTTCTCAGGAAAGACTATAAATGGTATCGGTAGTAGTGTAATCTTTGTAGTGTTCACTTTCAAAAAACACAGTAAAGCACCTTTTAAGCATAATTACTGCTCTATTATATAATATGAAATAAAGGAAACA